TGTCAGGGACAAGATTGTAGACCTACACAAGGCTGGAATGGGCTACAAGACCATCGCCAAGCAGCTTGGTGAGAAGGTGACAACAGTTGGTGCGATTATTCGCAAATGGAAGAAACACAAAATAACTGTCAATCTCCCTCGGCCTGGGGCTCCATGCAAGATCTCACCTCGTGTAGTTGCAATGATCATGAGAACGGTGAGGAATTAGCCCAGAACTACACAGGAGGATCTTGTCAATGATCTCAAGGCAGCTGGGACCATAGTCACCAAGAAAACAATTGGTAACACACTACGCCGTGAAGGACTGAAATCCTGCAGCACCCGCAAGGTCCCCCTGCTCAAGAAAGCACATATACAGGCCCGTCTGAAGTTTGCCAATGAACATCTGAATGATTCAGAGGAGAACTGGGTGAAAGTGTTGTGGTCAGATGAGACCAAAATGGAGCTCTTTGGCATCAACTCAACTCGCCGTGTTTGGAGGAGGAGGAATGCTGCCTATGACCCCAACAACACCATCCCCACCGTCAAACATGGAGGTGGAAACATTGTGCTTTGGTGGTGTTTTTCTGCTAAGGGGACAGGACAACTTCACCGCATCAAAGGGATGATGGACGGGGCCCTGTACCGTCAAATCTTGGGTGAGAACCTCCTTCCCTCAGCCAGGGCATTGAAAATGGGTCGTGGATGGGTATTCCAGCATGACAATGACCCAAAATACACAGCCAAGGCAACAAAGGAGTGGCTCAAGAAGAAGCAAATTAAGGTCCTGGAGTGGCCTAGCCAGTCTCCAGACCTTAATCCCATAGAAAATCTGTGGAGGGAGCTGAAGGTTCGAGTTGCCAAACGTCAGCCTCGAAACCTTAATGACTTGGAGAAGATCTGCAAAGAAGAATGGAACAAAATCCCTCCTGAGATGTGTGCAAGCCTGGTGGCCAACTACAAGAAACGTCTGACCTCTGTGATTGCCAACAAGGGTTTTGCCACCAAGTACTAAGTCATGTTTTGCAGAGGGGTCAAATACTTATTTTCCTCATTAAAATGCAAATCAATTTATAACATTTCTGACATGCGTTTTTTTCTGGATTTTGTTGTTGTTATTCTGTCTCTCACTGTTCAAATAAACCTACCATTAACATTATAGACTGATCATGTCTTTGTCAGTGGGCAAACGTACAAAATCAGCAGGGGATCAAATACTTTTTTTCCTCACTGTATATGATTCATTTATTATATCTGTGTCCATATTGTCCTTGAGTTTCTAGTAGATAGACCATATGGTTCAAATCCAACAAATTCATACTGACATAGTAAAATAAATTAAAGTGTGTACAAATATATATTTAAAGGGTATTTCATGCTGAAACCCTCATATTAAACACCAATGAGTTGGTGTACACTGAGTGTGCAGTGTTTGTTGTAACCTCTCCAGTTATCTGATAATAAAGAGTGATTCATTTAATATTGACTTAAGGTGTCGAATTTCCACCAATATTACCCCACTACACACCTCCATGTAGTGCTGACAGGTAACACCTCTTCAGTCAACCACTAGCAAGGCATGAATTCCTCCATTGTGAAAAAATAGAATGAAGAACTTAATGACTCACACACACACTCCACACCTTAGTAGGATCTGGTCTTAACTCCATTCTCTATAGACCACAAGTGATTACATAAGATAAAGGAAGTGAGATGTGAAAGAATGGATGAAGGAGTGTGAAAGGAGGGAAAGAGGCATGAAGGGAGGTGAGAAAAAAAATGGATTGAAGGATCAAGTGAGGAGGGAAAATAATTGATTGGATTTATATAGCGCTTTTCTACCAACTGAGGTACTCAAAATGCTTTACACAAACTCACCTCATCAATGTGTGGCACGTCAACCATTTTGTGCCAGAACGCTCAGAGCTACAGTTGAAGTTGGAAGTTTACATACACCTTAGCCAAATACGTTTAAACTCAGTTTTGCACAATTCCTGACATTTAATCCTAGTACAAATTCCCTGTTTTAGGTCAGTTAGGATCACCACTTTATTTTAAGAATGTGAAATGTCCGAATAATAGTAGAGAGAATTATTTATTTCAGCTTTTTATTTCTTTCATCACATTCCCAGTGGGTCAGAAGTGTACATACACTCAATTAGTATTTGGTACCATTGCCTTTAAATTGTTTAACTTGGGTCAAAGGTTTCGGGTAGCCTTCCACAAGCTTCCCACAATAAGTTGGGTGAATGTTGGCCCATTCCATCCTAGTACAAATTCCCTGTTTTAGGTCAGTTAGGATCACCACTTTATTTTAAGAATGTGAAATGTCAGAATAATAGCAGAGAGAATTATTTATTTCAGCTTTTATTTCTTTCATCACATTCCCAGTGGGTCAGAAGTTTACATACACTCAATTAGTTTTTGGTAGCATTGCCTTTAAATTGTTTAACTTGGGTCAAAGGTTTCGGGTAGCCTTCCACAAGCTTCCCACAATAAGTTGGGTGAATGTTGGCCCATTCCTCCTGACAGAGCTGGTGTAACTGAGTCAGGTTTGTAGGCCTCCTTGCTCGCACACGCTTTTTCAGTTCTGCCCACACATTTTCTATAGGATTGAGGTCAGGGCTTTGTGATGGCTACTCCAATACCTTTACTTTGTTGTCCTTAAGCCAGTTTGCCACAACTTCGGAAGTATGCTTGGGGTCATTGTCCATTTGGAAGACCCATTTGCGACCAAGCTTTAACTTCCTGACTGATGTCTTGAGATGTTGCTTAAATATATCCACATAATTTTCCTTCCTCATGATGCCATCTATTTTGTGAAGTGCACCAGTCCCTCCTGCAGCAAAGCACCCCCACAGCATGATGCTGCCACCCCCGTGCTTCACCGTTGGGATGGTGTTCTTCGGCTTGCAAGTCATCCCCTTTTTCCTCCAAACATAACGATGGTCATTATGGCCAAACAGTTCTATTTTAGTTTAATCAGACCAGAGGGCATTTCTCCGGCTTTTTTATGGTGGTTTTGGAGCAGTGGCTTCTTCCTTGCTGAGCGGCCTTTCAGGTTATGTCGATATAGGACTCGTTTTACTGTGGATATAGATACTTTTGTACCTGTTTCCTCCAGCATCTTCACAAGGTCCTTTTCTGTTGTTCTGGGATTTATTTGCACTTTTCGCACCAAAGTACGTTCATCTCTAGGAGACAGAACGCGTCTCCTTCCTGAGCGGTATGACGGCTGCGTGGTCCCATGGTGTTTATACTTGCATACTATTGTTTGTACAGATGAACTTGGTACCTTCAGGCGTTTGGAAATTGCTCCCAAGGATGAACCAGTCTACAATATTTTGTCTGAGGTCTTGGCTGAGTTCTTTTGATTTTCCCATGATGTCAAGCACTGAGTTTGAAGGTAGGCCTTGAAATACATCCACAGGTACACCTCCAATTCACTCAAATGATGTCAATTAGCCTATAAGAAGCTTCTAAAGACATTACATCATTTTCTGGAATTTTCCAAGCTGTTTAAAGGCACAGTCAACTTAGTGTATGTACATTTCTGACCCACTGGAATTGTGATACAGTGAATTATGAGTGAAATAATCTGTCTGTAAACAGTTGTTGGAAAAATTACTTGTGTCATGCACAGAGTAGATGTCCTAACCGACTTGCCAAAACTATAGTTTGTTAACGAGAAATGTGTGGAGTGGTTGAAAAACAAGTTTTAATGACTCCAACCTAAGTGTATGTAAACTTCCGACTTCAACTGTATCAGGTGGAGAGTGATATATGCCAATTAGGAGGATGCTTAGGTGGCCATGATGGAATGAGGCCAGGTTGGGAATTTAGCCATGACACCAGGGTTAACACCCCTACTCATACGATAAGTGCCATGGGATATTTAACGACCACAGAGAGTCAGGATACCCGTTTAACGTCCCATCCGAAAGATGGCACCCTACGCAGGGCAATATCCCCTTCACTGCCCTGGGGCATTGGGATCGCCTTAGACCAGAGGAAAGACTGCCCCCTACTGACCCTCCAACATCACTTCCGGCAGCATCTGGTCTCCCATCCAGGGACCGACCAGGACCAACCCTGTTTAGCTTCAGAGACAAGCCAGCAGTGGGATGCAGGGTGGTATGCTGCTGGCATAAGGGGAGGTGAGAAAGAATAGAGTGAAGGGTCAAGTGAGGAGGGAAAGAGGAGGGAGGATGGGGGGGAGGGGGAGAAGAGGAGAGGAGGAGGAGGGAGGGGGGAAGAGAGGGAGTGAGGCGAGGAGGACGGTGGGGAAAGAGGAGGCAGTTGGGAGACGTGAGGGGAGGGGAAGGCGGTTGGGAAAGAGAGGGAGTGCAGGGAGGAGCGGAGGGGAGGGTGGGAAGGAGAAGAGGAGGGAGTAGGAGGAGGAGGGGAGGTGGGAAAGAGGAGGGAGTGAGGGAGGAGGGGAGGTGGGAAAGAGGAGGGAGTGAGGGAGGAGGGGAGGTGGGAAAGAGGAGGGAGTGAGGGAGGGAGGGGAGGTGGGAAAGAGGAGGGAGTGAGGGAGGAGGGGAGGTGGGAAAGAGGAGGGAGTGAGGGAGGAGGAGGGGAGTGGGACAAGACAGTAGGGAGTGATGGGAGGAGGGGAGGGTGCGGAAGCGAGAGGAGGGCGTGAGGGAGGGAGGTGAGGTGGGAAAGAAGGGGAGGCGTAGGTGAGGGGGCAGGGGACGGTGGAAAGAGGAGGAGGTGCGGGAGGGAGGGGAGGGGTGAAAGAGGAGGGAGTTGTGGGAGGAGTGTGAGGGTGGGAAAGAGGAGGGATGGAGTGGAGGCGGAGGGGAGGTGGGATTCTGAAGAGGGAGTTGAGGGAGGAGGGGAGGTGGGAAAGGGAGGGAGTGAGCGGAGCGAGGGGAGGTGGGAAAGATGGAGGGAGTGAGTGGAGGAGGGGAGGTGGGAATGGAGGAGGGAGTGAGGGTGGTGGTGGACGGTTGGGGAAGAGGATGGAGTGAGGGATAGGGGGAATACTCCTTTGTAAAGTGGCTTGCCTCACTCACCTCTTTGAACATGTTCATGAATCGCGCTCCGAAGCGCCAGGGTTTGTGTCTGTGGCACTGCAGTGAGCTGACAGTGATCTGAGAGTAGAGCTGGGAGGCTGCTGCCACCATGTACACAGCATCATACATCAACGCTGCCTCGGTCTGGAAGAGATGTGTTAAAAAAAAAGTTGGATATAATTTATCTCAATAGTCTATGGCAGGAGTAGGCAACCCTGGACCTGGAGGCCCACAGGCACTTCATGTTTTTGATTTTATGCCTTCAGAAAGTATTCATGCCCCTTGATTTATTCCACAGTTTGTTGTGTTACAGCCTGAATGAAAAAGGGATTACATAGATTGTTTTTCTCACCCGTCTACACACAATGCCCCATAATGACAAAGTGAAAATATGTTTGTAGATTTTTTTCAAATTGAATGAAAATGAAATACAGAAATATCTAATTCACATAAGTATTCACACCTGTGAGTCAATATGTTAGAATCACCTTTGGCAGCGATTACAGCTGTGAGTCTTTCTGGGTAAGTCTCTAAGAGCTTTGCACACCTGGATTGTACAATATTGACACATTTTTCTTTAAAAAAGTATTCAAACTCTGTCAAGTTTCTTGTTAATCATTGCTAGACAGCCATTTTCAAGTCTTGCCATATATTTTCAAGCTGATTTAAGTCAAAACTGTAACTAGGCCACTCAGGAACATTCAATGTAGTCTTGGTAAGCAACTCCAATATATATTTGGCCTTGTGTTTTAGGTTATTGTCCTGCTGAAAGGGGAATTTGTCTCCCAGTGTCTGTTGGAAAGCAGACTGAACCAGGTTTTCCTCTAGGATTTTGCCTGTGCTTAGCTTATTCAGTTTCTTTTTATCCTGAAAAACTCCCTAGTCCTTGCCAATGACAAGCATACCCATAACATGATGCAGCCACCATTAGTCTCCCGAGTGGCGCAGTGGTCTATGGCACTGCATCGCAGTGCTAGCTGTGCCATTAGAGATCCTGGTTCGAATCCAGGCTCTGTCGTAGCCGTCCATGACCGGGAGACCCATGGGGCGGCGCACAATTGGTCCAGGGTAGGGGAGGGAATGGCCGGCAGGGATGTAGAGCATGGTGTTTGCAACGCCAGGGTTGTGGGTTCAATTCCCACAGGGGGCCAGTATGAAAAAAAAAGATAATGTAAGTCGCTCTGGAGAAGAGCGTCTGCTAAATGACTAAAAATGTAATTATGCTTGAAACTAGGAAGAGTGGTACTCAGTGTTGTGTTGGATTTGCCCCAAACATAACGCTTTGTATTCAGGACGAAAAGCTAATTTCTTTGCCACAGTTTTTGCAGTTTTACTTTAGTGACGTATTGCAAACAGGATGCATGTTTTGTGCCCTTCTTTGACAGGCATTGGAAAACTTCCCTGCTCTTTGTGGTTGAATCTGTGTTTGAAATTCACTGCTCGACTGAAAGACCTTACAGATAATGTATGTGTGGCGTACAGAGATGAGGTGGTCATTCAAAAATCATGTTAAACACTATTATTGCACACAGAGTGAGTCCATGCAACTTATTATGTGACTTGTTAAGAAAATGTTTACTCCTGAACTTATTTAGGCTTGCCATAATAAAGGGGTTGAACACATATTTAGTCAAGACTAGACATTTTTACAAATTAATTAAACATGAAAAGCAGAAATAAAACATAATTCCACTTTTACATTATGAGGTATTGTGTGTAGGCCAGTGACACAAAATCTAAATTTAATCCATTTTAAATTCAGGCTGTAACACAACAAAATGTGGGAAAAGTCAAGGGGTATGAATACTTTCTGAAGGCACTGTAACCAACCTGGAAAACCTGGTGTGTTGAATTTAGTCAATCACTGAACTAATCAATTAGCTCAGTTGTTCTGGTGTGGTACCTAGTTGGGACTATGAGGGTTAGGAGGGTAGGAGGACTAGGAGGGTTAGGAGGGATAGGAGGATTAGGAGGACCAAGAGGGTTAGGAGGGTAGGAGGACTAGGAGGGTTGGGAGGGTAGGAGGACTAGGAGGGTTAGGAGGACCGGGAGGGTTAGGAGAATTAGGAGGGTAGGAGGATTAGGAGGGTTAGGAGGACTAGGAGGACTAGGAGGGATAGGAGGACTAGGAGGGTTAGGAGGGTAGGAGGACTAGGAGGGTTAGGAGGACTAGGAGGACTAGGAGGGATAGGAGGACTAGGAGGGTTAGGAGGGTAGGAGGACTAGGAGGGTTAGGAGGGTAGGAGGACTAGGAGGGTTAGGAGGGTAGGAGGACTAGGAGGGTTAGGAGGACCAGGAGGGTTAGGAGGGTAGGAGGACTAGGAGGGTTAGGAGGGTAGGAGGACTAGGAGGGTTAGGAGGACTAGGAGGGTTAGGAGGGTAGGAGGACTAGGAGGGTTAGGAGGACCAGGAGGGTTAGGAGAATTAGGAGGGTAGGAGGACTAGGAGGGTTAGGAGGACTAGGAGGACTAGGAGGGATAGGAGGACTAAGAGGGTTAGGAGGGTAGGAGGACTAGGAGGGTAAGGAGGACTAGGAGGACTAGGAGGGATAGGAGGACTAGGAGGGTTAGGAGGACCAGGAGGGTTAGGAGGGTAGGAGGACTAGGAGGGTTAGGAGGACCAGGAGGGTTAGAGGGTAGGAGGACTAGGAGGGTTAGGAGGGTAGGAGGACTAAGAGGGTTAGGAGGACCAGGAGGGTTAGGAGAATTAGGAGGGTAGGAGGACTAGGAGGGTTAGGAGGACTAGGAGGACTAGGAGGGATAGGAGGACTAGGAGGGTTAGGAGGGTAGGAGGACTAGGAGGGTTAGGAGGACTAGGAGGACTAGGAGGGATAGGAGGACTAGGAGGGTTAGGAGGGTAGGAGAACTAGGAGGGTTAGGAGGGTAGGAGGACTAGGAGGGTTAGGAGGACCAGGAGGGTTAGGAGGGTAGGAGGACTAGGAGGATTAGGAGGGTTAGGAGGACTAGGAGGACTAGGAGGGATAGGAGGACTAGGAGGACTAGGAGTGATAGGAGGACTAGGAGGACTAGGAGGGTTAGGAGGACTAGGAGGGATAGGAGGACTAGGAGGGTAGGAGGACCAGGATGGTTAGGAGGACTAGGAGGACTAGAAGGACTAAGAGGGATAGTGTTTGAGATGGACAGAGGGTAGTAAATATCAACTGGTAGAATAGTCTCCTGACAGAGGATAGTAAATGTCAACTGGTAGAATAGTCTCCTGACAGAGGATAGTAAATATCAACTGGTAGAATAGTCTCCTGACAGAGGATAGTAAATATCAACTGGTAGAATAGTCTCCTGACAGAGGATAGTAAATGTCAACTGGTAGAATAGTCTCCTGACAGAGGATAGTAAATATCAACTGGTAGAATAGTCTCCTGACAGAGGATAGTAAATATCAACTGGTAGAATAGTCTCCTGACAGAGGATAGTAAATATCAACTGGTAGAATAGTCTCCTGACAGAGGATAGTAAATATCAACTGGTAGAATAGTCTCCTGACAGAGGATAGTAAATATCAACTGGTAGAATAGTCTCCTGCATATTGCATACATTAAATTAAATACTTCTTGACAAAATTTGGGTCACATAAACCTTTGTCAACTTTTGGCCAACGTACCGTCATCATGCCATCCAGCATGCCAGTCTCTGGTTTGGGCGGGGCCTGCTGGCGCTCCATGGACCACTTGTCGACCACGGAGGCGACCTGGGGGTTGTCTATGTTGAGGAGGCGGAACCCGGTCATATTCACACCGCTGTACCGGTACGGCTCCAGGTCCAGAGCAAACAGGTCCTGAGGAGGGAGAAAACACCTGGAGTTATTTTTTGCGTGGTCAGTCAGGGGTCACAAGTTCAAATAACGTGGTCAGGGTAAACTCCAGACTCTACCTATAATCCTCAAAACGATTGACCTTTCACCCCTACCTATAATCCTCAAAACGATTAAGCTTTCACCCCTACCTGTAATCCTCAAAACAATTGACCTTTCAAAGGATATACTCAGAGAGACTCAAAACAATGGGAGAATAATGTCATATGAAATACCATGGCATTTGAGAAAAGTACACACATTACTATTCCATCAGATTTCAACACACCTGTTCGGTTTGAACTGAGTTCATAAACAGTCTTTATATTATGCTTATAGGCCGTGTCCGAATACCCGTGCTTGAGTTCTAAATTGTAGGCATTTTGGGTATGTGAAAAAATTTACGTTTTATAGTATGTGACATTTCTAAAATGTTGTATGCTTTCAATGCCAGTATGTCATACTCATTTAGGCTTTTCATCTAGTAGAATTCTCTGCACACTATTGAGGAAGAGAATCATATTTCGAAACCCACGTGTTTGACGATTACTGATAATCAGCTTAGGGGACGTGCTGTACCAAAATGAACCAATGGCGGGAATCAATGCAATTGCACATTAGACACACATTCTCAGTAGGAGGTGCATAGTACTCTGCTATTTGTTACTTACTGCATTCGTTTTGACTAAACAGTACGTTCTAAATAGTATGTAAACTCAGCAAAAAAAGAAACGTCCTCTCACTGTCAACTGCGTTTATTTTATGCAAACTTAACATGTGTAAATATTTTGTATTAACATAACAAGATTCAACAATCTTGTTATGTTATGGGGGGTCAAAATCAAAAGTAACAGTCAGTATCTGGTGTGGCCACCAGCTGCATTAAGTACTGCAGTGCATCTCCTCCTCATGGACTGCACCAGATTTGCCAGTTCTTGCTGTGAGATCATACCCCACTCTTCCACCAAGGCACCTGCAAGTTCCAGGACATTTCTGAGGGGAATGGCCCTAGCCCTCACCCTCCGATCCAACAGGTCCCAGACGTGCTCAATGGGATTGAGATCCGGGCTCTTCGCATGCCATGGCAGAACACTGACATTCCTGTCTTGCAGGAAATCATGCACAGAACGAGCAGTATGGCTGGTGGCATTGTCATGCTGGAGGGTCACGTCAGGATGGTGGCATTGTCATGCTGGAGGGTCATGTCAGGATGAGCCTGCAGGAAGGGTACCACATGAGGGAGGAGGATGTCTTCCCTGTAACGCACAGCGTTGAGATTGCCTGCAATGACAACAAGCTCAGTCCGATGATGCTGTGACACACCCCCCCAGACTATGACAGACCCTCCACCTCCAAATCGATCCCGCTCCAGAGTACAGGCCTCTGTGTAACGCTCATTCCTTCGACGATAAATGCGAATCCGACCATCACCCCTGGTGAGACAAAACTACGACTCGTCAGTGAAGAGCACTTTTTGCCAGTCCTGTCTGGTCCAGCGACGGTGGGTTTGTGCCCATAGGCGACGTTGTTGCCGGTGAAGTCTGGTGAGGAACTGCCTTACAACAGGCCTACAAGCCCTCAGTCCAGCCTCTCTCAGCCTATTGCGGACAGTCTGAGCACTGATGGAGGGATTGTGCGTTCTTGGTGTAACTCAGGCAGTTGTTGTTGCCATCCTGTACCTGTCCCGCAGGTGTGATGTTCGGATGTACCGATCCTGTGCAGGTGTTGTTACACGTGGTCTGCCACTGTGAGGACGATCAGCTGTCCGTCCTGTCTCCCTGTAGCGCTGAATTAGGCATCTCACAGTACGGACATTGCAATTTTTTGCCCTGGCCACATCTGCGGTCCTCATGCCTCCTTGCAGCATGCCTAAGGCACGTTCACGCAGATGAGCAGGGACCCTGGGCATCTTTCTTTTAGTGTTTTTCAGAGTCAGTGGAAAGGCCTCTTTAGTGTCCTAAGTTTTCATAACTGTGACCTTAATTGCCTACCGTCTGTAAGCTGTTAGTGTCTTAACGACCATTCCGCAGGTCATGTTCATTAATTGTTTATGGTTCATTGAACAAGCATGGGTAACAGTGGTTTAAACCCTTTACAATGAAGATCTGTGAAGTTATTTGGATTTTTACTAATTATCTTTGAAAGACAGGGTCCTGAAAAAGATATGTTTTTTTTTTTGCTAAGTTGTCTTACGATTAGAACACCGTATGCTGTTTAGACATACGGCCTGATTCAGAGTAATAAAACAATGTTCTTACCAGAGTAGTGAAGAAGAAGTGGTAGTATTCAGTCATCATTCCCATGGACATGATCTGTAGAGGAGAGACAGAGAGATTGAGTCCCAAATGGCACCCTATTCCCGATATAGTGTACTACTTTTGACCAAGACCCATAGGGCTTTGGTCAAAAGAAGTATACTATATAGGAAATAGGGTGCTATTTGGGACGAAGAGAGAGCCAGAGCTCAGCTCACACAACTAGTGTTCTGCCCAAGCCAGCACAAATCACATATACTAGCTTAAACTCTATCCATCCATAACTATAGCCATACCCTGGGCCCACTGCAAATTACACACTTCCTCCATTTCTAGCAGGGGTCATTTTGTTTGGTATGCTTGCTGTGCATTTACTGAATGAGTAATACATGTCTCGATTGGTATACATTCGTGTGGCGTTTCCATTAATCTGTTTTACAGCCACTGGTTTTAAATGTGTGTGTTTGAATAGAAACAAGCTCGGTTTGGCTTTGGAAATGAACATAGGATTTTGCAGGGGATAGAAAATCGACTAATCTGTCTGGCCACAAAATCAAACTGGAATTGTGTTTAAGAGGAAAAGAGACAAAAGGAGAGGAAGGGGAGGAAACGGGGAAAGGGGAAGGGGATAGGAAGAGAGGAAGGAAGGAGGTGAAGGAAGAAGTGAGAGAGAGGAGTAGGAATGAAACTTTTCCCGGGAACTTTTTCCCCCCCCCCCATTTCCTTTTAAAATTTTTTTTTAAATTTAGGGGAAAAACCTTTCCCGGATACCCGGGTATTTTTCATTCCGAAATATGTGGGCCGACCAATGAAAACGCCCCGGGGACAAAAAAACATTAAAGACCCCCACGGCAAACTTAAAATTGGGAATCAGTTAATTTTTTTACAAAAAAGGCCCAAATTCTTGGCCCGGGGCAGGTCGCCGGCCCTAGCCCAATTTTTTCCCGGCCCCTTTCCCCCTCTCACCCCTTTTTCCCCTGTTTCACCGTTCCCTTTTTTGATTTGGGCTTCGAGCGGGGGCCCCCGGAAAACCCCCGTAGGACTCCTTCTTTCTTTGCCTTTCCTTCCGGTATTCCTTTTCCTTTCCCCCTCTTTTTTGTCCTTATTTTTAAGGAAAAAATTTTTGGGGCTAATTGGAGGGGCCTTTCCGGCCCGGGGGTTTTTTTTCCCCCCGCCTTTTTCGGTGTCGGGTCTTCTTCTCTTTTTCCCCCCCCCTTTTTTTTCCCCCCCGCCTTTTTCCCCCCCGCCGCCTCCGTGCGCTTCTGGCCCTTAGGGGCCCCCTTTTTTTGGGGGCCCCTCGGGTCCTTTGCGTTCCCCCTTTTTTTCCCTTTCCTCGGGGGCCCCCCCCCGTGTCGCCAAGGTCGCAGTAAGGTTTGGGGGGGGGCGCGGCTCCCTGCGCCGTCCTCCCCCGCTGGCCCCTTGGTTCCCGGGGCAAGCCCCAAAAGAGGGTTTTCGGGCGGTTTTTGGCCCCGAAGCAGGGGTTTTAGGATTTTTTATTTCTTTCCCAAGCCATTCCTTTTTTCCGGGCCCTTAATTTCCTTGCTTCTTCCCTCCCCCTCGCGTTCCTGCTGTGGGGCTTCCTCCCCTTTTCGGAGGCGGAGAGGAGCGGAACGGGAAATTTTCGTTCCTTCCCAGGGCGGGTACTGGTGAGGCGGTTTTACTCCCTGGACGTTTTGGCCCAAGGGAAAATTGTGGGGGATTTTACTAGTAGGAGTTTAGAAGCGATAAGCCAAATGCTAAAATAAGGGCGGCTGGAAGGGGCTGAAGCTAATCCGGCTGACCTAGGAACAACATTTAGAGAGAAGGCAAAGGAAAGGGGGGAATGGAAAACGAGAGGAGGCTTAAAGGGGAACTATCAAAAAGCGGAAGGGAGGGGGGGGGTTTTCCTAATGAAGGGCCCTACAGAAAAACCCTTTGGGGAAAAAGGAGAAAAGGGAGGGAGAAAGAAGGGGAAAAAACCCTGAAAGGAAAATAGAAGAAAGGAGGAAGGAAGGGAAAAGGGTTTGGAAAGGGAAAAGGGGCTTTTTTTCACTTAGGTTTCCAGTTTTCTCACTTTTTCCCCCTTTTTCTTGGGAAGGGCCATTTCCGTTTTTCCCGCCCTTTTTTTTCTGCTTTATTTAAAAGGGAGAAGGAGGAGGAGAGGAGACGGAGAGGAGAGGAGGGGAGGAGAGGAGAGGAGAGAGGAGGGAGAGGAGTAGGAGAGAGAGGAAAGGAGAAGGACGGGAGAGGGGGAGGGGGGGAGGGAGGAAGGAGATGGAAAGGGAGAAGAGGAAGGGAGAGGAAAGAAAGGAGAGGAGAGGAGAGGAGAGAGAGGAAGGGAGAGACGAGAAGGAAAGGAGATGAAAGAGGAAAGAGGAAAGGAGGTCGAGAGAGGAGAGGAGAGGAAAGGAAGAGAGAGGAAAGGGGAGGAAGGAAGTGTATGGAGAAGAGAAATGGGGGGAACTTTTCCTCACCTGTTTGAGTACGTCTGCGGAGGTCTGGTAGGAACAGTCGAAGATGACGTAGAACTCTTTCCCCTTCTTCATCTCCTTCAGTAAAGGCCGGGCATCTTTACTCTCCGTTGGTAGCTGGCGAATCTTAATCTTGATGCTGTACCTGGACGGAGCTTTGATCAGCTCCTGAAGACGAATTAACCCTGGGACAGACAAAAGGAAGGAAATAAAGAAATATGTTATGGGTAAAGGGGCTTTGCAAAACCGATCCTGATTCAAAGCAGATTAAAGATGCAGT